ATGGAGAAAGTCTTACAACAAGAGCAAACCATTAAGAGGCAAGATGAAGCTAAGAAATTGAAGATGAACATGATCACAGGTAAGCACAAATATTTTTCTTAGTCTGATGTCCTACAGTCTTGACATAACAACCTAAAATAATAAATATAAAACTTTATGTTTATGTTTTAGGTGGTGTAGGTGGAGAACAGGACTCAGATTGTCTCAGGATTGTGCTGATTGGGAAGACCGGCTGTGGAAAGAGCTCTACAGGAAACACCATTTTAGGAAGAGATGAGTTTACAGCTGCATCAAGTCAAATATCAGTTACACAACAATGTCAGAAAGTACACGGTGAGGTGGACGGTCGTCCTGTTGTTGTGGTCGACACTCCTGGTCTGTTTGACACAAGTTTGACCAATGATGACATTCAAGAGGAGATGGTGAAATGTGTCAGTCTCCTGGCTCCAGGACCACATGTCTTCCTGCTGGTGATACAGGTCGGCAGATTCACAGAAGAGGAGAAGGAGACACTGAAGCTTATCAAGAAATTCTTTGGGAAGAATTCAGAAAAGTTCACCATTGTTCTTTTAACCAGAGGAGACGATCTGGAGCGTCAGGGAGAGTCTATTGATGATTACATCAAGAACAAATGTCACATTTCCTTTAAGAAGCTGATCTCTGACTGTGGAGGAAGATACCATGTGTTCAATAACTCTGAGAAACAAAACTGCACACAAGTCAGTGAGCTAATAGCAAAGATTGACACCATGGTGAAAGACAATGGAGGCATCTACTTCACCAATAAGATGCTGCAAGAGGCTGAAGTAGCGATACAGATGAAAATGGAGAGCATTCTAAAGAAGAAGGAAGAAGAGATTCAGAGAAAATACAATCAAGAAATGGAAGCCATTAAGCAAACCATGGAAAAAGAGAGAAAACAAATGGAACAGGAGAGACAAGAAAAAGTCAAAGAACTTCAGGAAATGGAGGAGAAAATTAGGTTCGAACAAGAGAGGAGAAGAAAAGAAGAACAAATTAGAAATGAAGAAGAAATCAATAAGAAAAAGGAAGTAGAAAGATATCGGGAGAATTTTAACAAACAGATTGAAATTGTGGATAAACAAATTCAGTCAGAAAAAGAGGAAAAGACAAATGTCGACAGAAAGCTGGAAGAAAGCAGAGAACAGCTGAGAAAACAACAAGAAGAGTGGGAGAAAGAACAGAAAGAATGGTGGGAGAAACAACGACAAGAAGAAGAGACGAGACGAGAGGAAGAGCAAAAAATCAAAGAGCTTGAAGAAAAGTACAAACAAGAAAAGCAAATATATGAAAAGAAACTTAAGGAGGATCACCTCAGAAGAGAACAGGAGGAAAAGGAGAAGAAAGAACTGGAGGAGAAACATAAGAAAACCCTGGATGAGATGAAGAAAAAGCATGAAGAAGACGCGAGAAAGGCAGCTGAAAATGCCAATGAATCCCAAAAGAAACTTGTGGAGGAATTAGCATATCAGAAGAAAGAATATCAGAAGGAAATGAATGAGTTACTGAAACATGTCATCAAAAGGAATTCCAGTTATTACAAGATCAAGAGATTACTGGAAAAACAGGAAAATGAAATGAAGAAAGTGAAGGATGAGGATAAAAAAGAGGAACTCCAGGAAACACATGAAAAAGAATTAGTTACGCTTATGCAAGAAATCTTATCAGAAGAGATCAATGACACATCAGCCTGCAGCGTTATGTGATAAGAAACGAACAGTTTCAGATGCTTCATTTTATGTTATTAAAAACAAAACAAAAATGAATCAGTAATTCTTTAAAGTTCTGTATACTTCCCCATATTTTGCAGCACATAGAAAACACTTCTGCCTGGAGATTCATTATTTTCTAAAGCTAAATACATGTATTCATTTCATTCATAAAGTTACATTGAAACCAAGCACACCATTGTTTTTCTTGTGACATTACCAATAAGTTTGATGTGTCACATGACCCTCTTCCTATTGAAAAAACAAAAGTTGTATCCAAGATGGCCGACTTCTAAATGGCCACCATGGTCACCACCCATCTTGAGGAGTTTGCCCCCTCACATATACTAATGTGCCACAAACAGGACTTTAATATCACCAACCATTCCCATGTTATTGCGGTGTATCCATATAAATGGCCACCCTGTATATTTTTATCCCAGAAAATGTGATCACATTTTTCTGTTAATCCATAATAAAGTCATAAAAGAACCAAACTTCATGAATGTTTTTTTGTGACAAAGAAGTATCTGTTTCAATCACTCTATCAGAGAAAAATCCGAGTTTTTTTTCCAAGACAAATCCAGCTGCTCATTAAAGCTTCTGGTTTGATCAGAAAATAAAACATTGGTCCAAACACCTGAAAGTCCTGAAAACATATTGTGAATTCTGTCGAGTCTACGGATGTATCCGTGTATCTCCGTGGTGCTGATGCTGCGCTGAGCGGACAGATCCTGAAGCTTTTGAAGTGTCGGAATGTGGAAAGCTAACAACATCCCTCTGACCAGTAGGCTAAGTTATTTTTAGCTAATTACAAGTTGAATCTGGTAGTTGGGGTTGTTAGCTAAGATACCATCATTAAGAAGCGGCACAACTAATGTGTCTATGCGAGCTGATTTGCGATGTGCACCTCTGGTACGGCCATTTATTTTTTAATGTACCTTCTCAGATTAATTCACTGCGTGTCGTGCCCAGAGCTGGACTGGGACAAAAAAACGGGCATTTTGACTAGAGACCAGCCCACCAGGTATTAAAGCCATAAAGCCTTTTTCACTAAAGTTACAAAGGAAAAGCAACAAGCAGAAGTGTCAGTGTGATGGAAATTCTCTTTGAAAGGTTTTATTCAAGCCTACAAAACATTTGTACTGACTCATCTAAAGGAATGAACAGATCAGATCAAATGAACAGATCAGATCAAATCATCGGCCCACCGAGCAAATGCCTGGTATGCCCGATGGCCAGTCCAGCTATGGTCGTGCCATCAGTCAACCCGTGCCTAGGGTTGCCGACCCCTGATCTAGAAGGTGTGGCTCTACTGTTGGGACATTTCAAGCAACATGCCTTTCTTCAAAGACTGCGTAAGTAATCCTGGAAAACTTCCAAACGTTTATATTTAGTGACAAACTGTTCTCACTGCACTCAGTTTCTGTTTCTGCACCTGAGCCCGTCAAACCTGAATATCTGATCTGTTCATTTCTTTAGATGAGTCAGTACAAATGTTTTGTAGGCCTGAATAAAACCTTTCAAAGAGAATTTCCATCACACTGACACTTCTGCTTGTTGCTTTTTCTTTGTAACTTTAGTGAAAAAATATGTAGAAATTCAGGAGGAGGAATCACTCGGTGATCAGACCAATCACAATAGTTCATAAATGCATCCACAACACTGTGTAGTTGGATTTCCAGGGAGATTCAATTCAATTTTATTTATACGGCACCAACTCACAACAACAGTCGCCTCAAGGTGCTTATATTGTAAGGCAGACCCTACAATAATATGCATGTCAGGTTACATTGTAGTGTTATAAGGATTATTTATAATGTTTCACTACAACACTATAGTGTTTATAGTGAAAGGTACAGGTTTGCTGCTGAAGCATAAATACACAGTTAGTCTTCAATCCAATGGATGTCATCACATGAGGCCAAAAGCTGAAGTATTAATACAAATTACATTTTTGACTGGTTTGGCCTTTTTGTTTGTTTTCAGGATTCTTCACTCAGTTTTGCACAGGTCTGTATGAAAATGTCATCCATGAGGTTTGTCTCAACTTTAAACTTGGAAGGATTATTTACCAATGTGGGATTCCACATTCTGATTTGTATCAGAATCTAGTCAAGAACAGCTCTAGTTCTTTGTTAATTTTAAAGTATTTTAAGGTTTGAGAAGATGGAACGATGGACCATAACCGTAATTTAGACGTATATTAACTTCACAGTAGTGCTCAGTGGAAAATGATCACTGTGGACATCCTCAGTCCTCTGATGAAGGGAAATGTCCTTCCATGACCAAAGCAGCATCACTACACATTATTAATAAATGTATCCAGTCAAAGCTCAAGTGACTAATTCACAACATGATCTGTAAACTCAAACATAACATTATCAACATGAAGCGTGTATGAAATAACCAACAAGAGACTCACTGGAATTGTTGTATTGTTACTTTAATGCTCCTTCAAACTGCATTTGATTAGATTTAAAGTACAAAGTGACACCAGCAGCAAGAAAAATGAAAGCAACAGCGCCCCCTTCAAAGACGTACAGTATTTTATATTATCTGACAGAGTTGATAGACTGGGAGTGTGGTACTTCATGTAAATGTGATGAGGTATTCTGGGTAGGCCTGGATATCATTGAAGACCACAAACATGGTTGGATTAGCAGCGTCATCTATGACGCTGTCATACAGGTCTGAGGCACTCCCAGATTTGGGAGGAGGGGTGATCATGCCTTTTTTTCCTTGGGTGTAGTCTCCAACTAGAACTCTGGCCTGGTACATGCGCTTGTGTCCACTGGTGTCGGGGGTGGCGTAGTTTCCTGCTGAATAGCAAGGGTCCGCAGCAAAGTAAGAGCCGTTGCCGTACATCGCAGCTGTGGACAGAGTGAACATATTAACTGAATAACGAATTCACTTAAACTAGTGTTAAAATATTCTACCCTTGTGTGTGTGTACTGTGTGTGATGGCTTTACCATTTTTTCCTGCGTAGCTGCGGTTGAAGCCTTGTTTGTTGATCAGATGGATGGAGGTGTCAGTGGTGCCGTGAAACAGAAGCAGTTCATTGTTTGTGTGTTTATTCTTCACCTCCATTTGTTTCTTCATGATCTGGTAGTTCTGCCACAGTGACGGATTTTGGACTCTTTCAATCTGTCAACGTAATCCAAACACATTATGTTGGTGATTTTCATTGAAGTACAATAACTCTCCTTCTTACCTCTGTGTCTGTTCTCTAATGATTGTTGACAAAGTATTTATAATTTATTCAACATTCAAATTCTGCTGGATTGAAATGATCCAAGGTGGCAAAGTCAAGGCTTCAAACTGGGAATGGAAAACCAATGGGTGATGTCACATGTCTAGATCCAACACTACAGTTTATGCCAAACCAACTGAAGTTAAAGCTGAGAGTTGGGAACTAATTTACTCTCCTTTTGTTTTCAATTATATAAAAAATATAGAAAACTTCTGTGTACATCATACAGCCTGGGCTGTGTATTTATGACTGAACATACACTGATGATGTTGAGGTTGAGTCCGGTCTTCGTCAGTTCTTTCTCCACATCGTTGTATTCATTAGATGCTGGAGCCACAGCAAACAACTTCAGCAGGTCGTCCTTCATGTCCTCCCAACATGAAGGCAAAGGCAGAGCGCTGGTACCTGCAGAACAAAAAGTAAAAACTCACCATTGAAACTTTTCAGCCTTTTCTTGGTCCAATGCAAAATGTTGGACACATTGTTCTTCCAGCAGGTTAAATGGGGACTATGTGCACATTACTGACTCACCTTTCAGGTCTTTTCGATGGAGCTCCACGTCATGACGTCCGTTTGCTGAAACTGCTTTTTCACGCTCTGGGTCGGCGGTGTACGCGTCATTGTTGATCTTGATCTTTGCTTTTTGTTTAGTCTTGAAAGCTTCCTCGAGGGTGAGGTTGGTGTTCATGTCAAAGGCCACCATTGACCCATTATGGTCCTTGAATTGCCATTCCACCAGTTCACTCATCTCCGAGGCCTTTTTCATCAAGGCCTCTGCCCGCTCCACCTTACGGATGATGTCCCTGATGGTCATCAAATAAAAAGGTAAAGCAATACTTTAACATGTAACATTTTAAACCTAAGAATTATTGCATGTCATTGGTTTATGTGGCTTTCCTGTTTTCTGACCTGATTGCAGACTCAGCAGTGTAGACATCCCTGGTCAGACCCTCCAGGTGGATCTCCGGGTCCTGGTCCTCTGCTCCTTTGTCCAGACGGATGCTGACCGTCAGTTCTCTCTGCAGAGCCTTCAGCTTTTCCATGTCAGCCTGTGACAGCTGACTAATGCAGGGGTCAGAGATGGTTTTCTGTTCCTGCTCAGTCCGAATCTGCTCAATAATCCTCTTCTTGGCCTGACTCGCTGCCTGCAGCATCAGACAAATATGTGTTAATAACAGAGATTTAAAGACAATAATTTTATTTTTATTCTACTGAGTGTACTGGAACTATATCCTCGTGAGCAACACGTATACAGACCAGCAGTTACTTCAACACAGTGTCTCTGAATATAGTTTTGGTTGCTCAGTTAGAAGCAGAGATTTTTCCTTTGATCTATATTTACGATGGTAGTAAACCTCACTGTGATGAAAGACTTGATGAAGCTGAACTCTGAAGGAACTGTGGATTCATTCTCTAACAATGTTTTCTGAACTTTTGACCAAACAAGGAAATCTATTTCTCTGCTGCTTTGTTATTTATGCTAAACTAGCCTCGAGCTCTGCATTACATGTGTAGGAAGATCTGAGATCAATATTAATAAAAGAAAGAGACTGTGTGTAATAATATATTTATGCATGACTATTAAAGTAAAAAGACTATTTAAAGAAAGGGTTCCTCCTAAAATGCACTGACCTCTGTCTAGAAAGCAGACTTCCTGTAAAATAAATAAATAAGAATGGAAACATGATGTGAATGAATTTGTACCTTGTGGTCATCGGCACACAGCTGAAGCACTACAGGCTTAAACTCCTCCCTCTCCAGGACTATGTCAGCAGTGATTGGCTGCTCTGCTCCGAGCCCAAAAACAAAGTTAGTCTAAAACAGCTCAAAATAACTGTTGTATTATAGCAAAGAGATCTGTGAATGTCACATAGAGTCCAATCTCCATAAAACAATGTGCGAAAAATCCATAAAAATACTTAAAAAAAACCATATAAACAATATTTTAATTGAGAATAGTAAAATATAATATATTTAAGACACTGTAACAGTTTCTGTTCTTAGATCTTCATCACTGACAGAGTTTTGTTCAAAGAAGAGCTGATGTAAAAAAGTGCATCAGCCTGAATGTGGATTTATTGTTACCAGATTAAAAAACAATGTAATACCTTCAGCTTCGCTAACGACAGTCTTCTCCTGCACCCTCTCTTCCTGTCTCTTCTTCATGCTCATGTGGAAATGTTTCAGCATGGCCGTCTGGAAGATCAGGATCTTCACACTCTGAACAAACCTCGGCTGTTTCCTCTTCACAAACTCCACCACTGCATCCACCATGGCATCAGCCACCTCTGAAGGGCTGGCCCCTCCCTGACCTGATGGGCAGACGAGGACCAAGCAATGATAATGATGATGATTCAGGATATGAGTTTCATTTCAATACAGTGCCAAGAGAAAGAGCTGGACAAATGAAACATACTGACTGTCTGAAAAACATAGAAATAAATCAGTTAGAACACGGAGCACCAACAGTCCACCTCAGAGTCGTTTGCACTGTTGGAAAAAGCACTAATGTGACTGAGATGAGCGAGCACGGAGGAGCAGCAGAGATGGAAACTACCTCGCAGCAGTAAATCCACCGGACAGTTAGCTGCTCTAATCACACATCGGTGTAATCTGACATCACACAGAGTCTATAGAAAGGAGCTGTGTTTCAACTTTGTATTAAAGACATTTTAGTGGCACAAACTCAGGTTTGTAAGAGTGGGGTGAAGTAAGGATGCTTCGCATTGCTGCACAGTGAACCGAGTTGTGATGGAGGTGTAGCCTGTGGCTCTGCTGCAGGTTCAGGGGCAGTGCCAGAGAGGCTGGCAGGGCAACTGAGTCCACTCAACTAGTTGTGCTTTCACTATTTGCTGAGAGGAGAGAGAGGGCATGTGGCGACGTCTGGAAAGCTGCTGCAAAGCCCGATACACTGGGACGCACAGCTGTGTGCATCCCAGGTTGTTCCTGTTCACATGACTGTAGTTTGCACAGACCTGTTCCCAGGGCTGGGAAGGCCACAGAGCTGAACTTGTTCTCCTCGCAGAACTTCAGCACCGAGTAAACCGTGTTTTTAATGTTTGCAGGGTCGTTCTGGCCGACGACGTGGACGATGTTCCTGCTGCGCAGCTGCCCGGCTGATGTCAGGATCATTGCAGGAGGCTGAGCCGTGGAGCTCACTGCAGAGAGGAAACAGCGTTAGGAGAAGTGTGAAGCATAGTGAGTCTAAAAAGGAAGTGAAAAGGGTGAAGCTTCATGTACACACCAAGCTGAGCGCACTCCTGCTCAACTGTTACTCCAGCACCGTCTAAGATCGCCTTGGACACCCCTGAGCAGCAATAAGAGGACAGCAACAGGTGCAGTTAGTCAGATTTTGTTACACAGAAAAAACATGTTTATTTTCACAGAGTTAAATTTCACAGTTACCTCTGTCTCGTTCTCTTTAAATGTGCATATTTAAAAAATAATAATTCTCTACCCGCCCTGCAGGCGGTCTTCATCAGTATTTTTGATTTTTGGTTTGTTCCTAGGAACAAAGCGCTGTTCTGGAATCTGCTGGAGCCTCCAGCCCAGTGTGACGGGCACTGCCCTGAGTGCTCTAACGCACCAGACAGCAGAGGTGGACAAGCAGACGAAGACAGCTGTAGGAATGTAGCTACACCGAGTGACAGCACCATCAGGAAGAATGAGAAGCTTCAGAAGTACCAAGGGCTCAGAGAAGAGCTCGAGAAGATGTGGAGGGTGAAGGTAACAGTGGTAAATCACTCGGTGCGGTGACCATCAACCTGGGCGAGTGGCTCCAGCAGATCCCAGGAACAACATCTCAGATCAGTCTTAGGAACGGCACAGATACTGCACAGCACCCTGAAGGAAGGTCCTACTCAATGTCTTAACTGTTGTAGCCACAAATATAAAGTCAACACTCACCTGCTTTAAGGTTAAAGCTCTGATTGGAGGAATTGACAATGACATCACTGGCTTCCTTGGTAATGTCACCTGATGATGCCTGAAGGGTGAGTTGATCGATCTGCATCTGGTACACATCGAGGGAGGTGGACAAGACTGGGACAGACAAATGTACACACACACACACACACACACAGTTTTTTTTATAACACTCACTTTTTCACACTCACAACTATTTAAAAATCCACAGTTGACCAACTCTTCCATATAATTAAACGAGAATAGACAGAGCTGAAGATCTGAACCCAGGACCTGTAAAGTTAATGTGCCAATGAGCAAAGCACGATGTCGCCTCTTACAGGTTTATTTCTAAAACTACACTAAAGGCATTAAAACAAGAACTGATAATAACTGTCCACCCACCAACATTCACACAGAGTGTTTACTCTCTTCTGTCCACTATGTTTAACATAAGCTCAACAGTGACACCTGCTGGTTAAACTGGGCTCGCATATATCTTTAACAACATGAATTGTCACTGATGGTCACATCAGGCCACTTAGTGAAACTAAAACATCCTCAGTTTGTCCTGGCCAATCTCTGACCTGCTACATTAAGACTAAATAACCTGTGAACATCATGTTAATCAGGACTCTGCTGGAGCTCTTTGTAGTTCTGGTGGTTCTTACCTGAGGAGTGCTGTGATTGGTCGACAGCCTGTTGAACTGGTACCTCATTAAAACCACGAGCTTCATGTTGGACGTTCCTCTGAGCGGTCTGACCGGTGAACTCTCTGGTGAAACACTGATAATATATTTCATGTGTTACGTTCATGCTGGTGATTTTGTTGTTTTCACAGCACTGATGAAGCTGCTGTAACTGCAGCTCAGTGCAGAGAAAAAATACTATTTAATGTTTTATTATTTTAAACCTGAAGGTGGTTTTAATTACATGTTAATGGGGTTATGTAATGTAGTCGATTTAATCTTTGTTGTATTTGATTTGTCAGTTTTTATTGTCTTTTGTTGCTAAATTTACATCATAGGTTTGTTCCTCCTGAAGCAGCATCAAATATATTCTCATACAGCTCTAATGAAATCAGCTGCTTGTATGCTTCACACTGCTGACAAAACACAATTCTGCTAATGTCATTACCGTAGAAATACAAAGCATTGACTGCTTAATGGTGTAGCTAAGAAAATTTAAAAAAGCAGGAAATAAGTTAAAAAGCCAGAGTACTCGTCTGTTTTCCAGCTGACTAATGAGCAGCTGTCTGTGGGGGAACATTACCCCACAGAAAGCAGTGATCTCCCCTTTTTCCTTCATGTTTTCAGCTTTGATAAAAGGTGCTCGTAGTTAGGAAGGTTTGAGGGATGTGATTCAACACTGAAGTAAAGTAAACGTGGTGTGCTCAGTCCAAGTGTCTCTAATGCTTTTGGCTGCAGTCTACAGTCACATTTACTTCCCATGCACAGGGAGTGAACCAGGGGAGAGAGCATGATCAAATAACATTACATTTAATTTGAGTGAAGACAATAATATACGTTACTTTTAGTACAATAAAAATGTCCCAGTAGCAGTTTTGTCTAGTTAAACCTAGCTAACCAAAATGGAAAAGACAAAAATCAAGAAGAGAAAATCTCCATCAGCGGCTCTTTGACATTGTTTTTGACTCTTTTAATCTTTCTTTGCTGAAGCTGAACGCATTCTGTACTGTGCAGGAGACACAGCACAGGATTGATTGACAATGGTCTCCAGCCAAACGGGACACAGAACACAATGCACTGTAAAAAAAAGAAAAGAAAAGAAAAAAGAAACCATGAAAAATTAGCAAGGCCGCGAAAGGTGAAGCGCGTTATTGCGAGGGACCGCTGTACTAACAGTGTGTATCACCACTCAGTGAGGTTTCTGCTACCTGTAGCCACAAGCAGCTTCACTTGTTCCAGTTTGTGTGCTAAGCTAGGTGACAGTGTGACTGATCAGTGTCTGCCTGCACATTATGTGTCCATGTGTTTGTTGTGGGTTTGCTCGTCTCGAGTGCTCACTGTCAGAACATGATAAACACTTAAACACTCTCAGCTCCGATCAGAGAGTCACAAACTCACCTCCACGGTTTGGCTGTCACTGGGGTGAACGACGATGACCACCTCTCTCAGACAGCGAGGATTTCTGCTGCTGATGAACGAGCGGATCTCCCTCAGCAGGAGTTTGGACACCAGGGCTCTGGGGAAGCTCAGGTTTCCTGTCCCGATGGCTGGGAAGGACAACGATGCCATCTGACGTTTCTCAGCCTCCACCAGACAGCATCTGATGATGGACGTTAACTCCTGACAGAGATAAGACATAACGTGAGGCTGGACTTCAGTGACTGGGCAAGATACACAGTATGGTATGTGAACGACCAGGAACAAAAGTGTTGTTTTCACTGGTGGTGAGGGGCACAGAGTTTCTCCTGATGCATCCCTCAGTGGATGAGTGCATGAATGATGGTTAAAATAGCGTTTGGGGATAGAAAACAGTGATCGGATGAATGTGTGAGGCTTGTAGTAGAAGGAATCTGGAGTTCTCAGTGAGAGTAGAGAAGTGCTGTGTTAGTATCAGAAGTTAGTTAGTATCTCACACATGCTGGGGCTTATAGGAATAACAGAGTTTAAGAAAAGAATAGAGAATAGAAACAGCTTTCTGTAGATTTCTTTGTTTGTAAAGACTAAATGTTCCAAACTTATTCTTAGAAATGCAGATGTCTGTGGGACACACTTTAAGTGTTTGTGCTGGGGTGTGGTCTGCAGTTCCTCTGCAGAGGTGGGGCGGTACTCAGCAGGCTGACAGGGCAGCTGAGCCTAACAGACTAATCATACTCAGTTCAGTGACAACAGCATTTGGAGCTGGTGTGTGTGTGACCAGCAGGAGAACCTTGCAATGAGTCACAAATGAACACGTTTCACAGCCCAAAACTGTGTGTCCTGGTTCTTTCACGTTTGCACTGATACAAAACCTAGTTGGGCATGTCGGACCCGCAACCCACACAACTGGCCAGATGATGGTTTAGCTTGCTGTGATGCACAAGAAGCAGGTGGCGATGCATCACGTCCGGCTGGAGAAGCTGCAGGATAAAGCTGCACCGGATGGGGCCAGGCAATGACTCCCAGAACCTTTTTTTTGTGTGGTTTAAAAAGGCTCTTTGTGGGAGCCCCTGTCTCACACATGTAACTTCTACTTCCCTTTCGTTCTGTAGATGGATGTCTCAAACAGAGGGCTGGGGGCAGTTTTGTCACAGCAGGTAAGGCGGGTTGACTGCCCTGTAGTCTACATCAGTCGGAGAGGGAGGCCAGGTACAGCATGGTGGAGAAAGAGTGTCTGGCAATCCTGGGACACTTATTCACCCTCTGCTCAGCTGCAATGGCTCCACCACATGAAAGATGCCAACGCCCAGATAACCCAGTGGTATTTGTCCACAGTCATTTAAGTTCATGGTGGTCCAAAGGGGTGATAGGCTGGGAGAGGGTAGGGTGGTGCAGTGGGCTCAGGGGGCAGTGCCCGGCAGGCTGACAGGGCAGCTGAGCCTAATAGACTTCAATTCACGCTCTCCTAATTTCAGTGGCATCAGGACCCAGAGCTGGTGTGTGTGCGACCAGCAGCTGGAAAGCTAAACTGTGTATCCTGGGTCCTTCATGTTTACAGTGTCCAACCTTTATTAAGCCTCACCTCCTCTGCCTGGCTGCCTCCTTTGTCCCAGAAAGGACAAACAGCGTGAAAGACTTTCTGGCACGTGAGGTTGTAGCCGTCAGTGACGACAACATCACCGTATCGCAGCGTGTTCCTTCTGGCTTCAGAGTAGATGGCGTCCTGCAGACTGCTTCCAGCTGCTGACAGGATGGCGTTGGACACAGCTCCCTGGTTCAGTTTCATGTCCTCTGAGATGGTGTTGACGATGACGTCAGTCTGTGGAACAAAAGTAAAATCACAAAAAGCTTGGTAAATGAAAGTCAGTTTTAGGTAAAAAATCAAAAACATCTTATTATTTTTGCATTAAAAAGGCCGAGACACTAAATGTCTGCAAACTACAGTATATAAAATACACAAACTGTACAGTGTTCCATAAAAATATTGCAGTATAAATTCTTAATTATGTGATCAGATTTGTATGTGCCTTCGTTGTTCCTGCTGATAAAGGTGTGTAGCTTTGTTCTTAATTAATATATTATTTCTGGCTGATCGTTTTGCCCACCTGATATAGAAAGACCAGGAAATGTATCCAGGCATTTTGACATGTTAATCAAATTATAGTAAAATGAGCAAAGTTTGAGTCGTGTTTGAAACATGTGACACCTTCACACTAGTCAATTAAAAACATAAAGCAGCTTTCAAATTGGAATCAGTGGATGTTTGAATGTGCTGTATTTATCAATGCACTAATGTACAAAAGTCTTTGATGAGCATTCCTTTGTAAACTCAGCATTCAAATGAATTT